GTGGTGAAAGAGGGTATCTCTGTCTTGTTCCAGATTTAATTTTTCTCCATTTAGAAAGATGTTGGCCTGAGGCTTAGCATAGATAACCTTTATTTTGTTGAGATATGTTCCTGTTATCCCTAGTTTTTCTAGTGTTTTGAACATAAAGGGTGCTGTATTTTGTCAAATGTTTTATCTGCATCTATTGAGATGATCATATGATTCTTATCTTTAAGTCTATTGATGTGATGAATTACATTTGTTGATTTCTGTATACTTGGACCACTATGCCATGCTGCCTCCCTAATAGAGCATTAATTACAATATGTGTCAGTGACTCAAACTCAACCATTAAGAAAGTTTCAATGGACATGGTGATGCACACTTATAATCCCAGCTATTCAGAATGATAAGGTTGGAGGACTGAAAGTTTGGGGTGGTCTGGGCAACTTAGTGACTCGGTCTCAAAGTTAAGTTAAAAACTAAAAGTGTTGGGGCTGTAGCTCAGTGGTAGAGTTCCCCTGGGTTTAATGCCCAGCACCACACATGTGCACGCATGCATGCACACACACACAAAGAGAACAAAATAATAGTCTCAAATTGCATGAAAACAAAAGATTCAATAATACATTTTCTAAAAGAGGCTTATTTAAGTCAGTAAGGTTAAAACTAAAAGGATCAAAACAATATAGCAGGCAAACACAAAACACAGAAAGCTCATGTAGTACTCTTAAAACTTCACAAAACAGAAGTTAAGACAAAAAGATTATAATGAGTAAGTATAGTAAATACACATGTGCCTAACAATACAGCCTCAATAGATACCAAGCAGCAGAAACAGATAAATAGAAATCAACTGGAGATTTTGAAATGGTTCCTCTCAGAATCCAAAAGATCAAGCAGACAAGTAGACACTCCCTCTCGTCCCCAACACTCACAAAACAGATACAGAAGATAAAGATGGTATAATCAATAAACTGTAGCTATTAGACATTCATAACACCTATAAATTTCCATCAAACAGAACATACTGTTCAGGTACATATGAAACACAAAAATAAAATAGATCATATGTTGGGTCTAAAGGAAAACTCAATAAATTCCACACTGCAGTAAAATTAGGAATAATAAATAACAATAGGTATGGTGACAGACTAAGGCCTCCATGACCCCTACCTGCTTTTATTTACATCCTTATATAACTCCCTTATTTGGGCATGAGTGGGCTCTGTATCAACTTGATTGGGTCATGGATTGCCCATATATTTTGCCAAACATTATTCTGGGTGTCCATAAGGTGTTTCTGGATGAGATTAACATTTAACTTGATAAACTAAATAAAGCAGATTGCCTTCTCTAATGTGGGTGGGCTTCAAAGAGTCATTTGAAAAGCTGAGTAGAACAAAAGCTGAGTTGACCCTTCCCCAGGATAAGAGAATTTTCCTGCCTGATGACTTTCAAACTTGTACATTGACTCTTGGTTCTATAGCAGCTTCTGGCCCTTGACTTTAACCTGGGTCACAAGCTCTGCAGGTTTTGGACCTGCCATAATCCCATGAGCCAATTCCTTGTAATAAATCTCTATAAATGTATATATTTCCTGTTGACTCTGTTTCTACAGAGAATCCTTACTAATATACCAAAGAATATGGCAAAGGTTACGGCAAAGGCCATTCCCATACTTTTATTATATTATGTAAGAAAGAGAACCCAGATAGGTTGTTCCCAGACCCTGGCCAATAAAAATGATGTTTTTTAAAGTCACTATGTTTGTGATAATTTGTCATGTGCAATAAACAATACATCAGAATAGCAATAATAAACAAAATCCTCAAAAAACTGTTTGAAAACAAAAATAATATCTTACAGACAGCACATGAGTTATAAAGGAAATTTAAAATATGTAGAATTGAATGTTAACAAAAATTCTACATGTTGAAGCTTGTGTGACACAGCTTAAGTGCCAGTTAGATGGAAATTTGTAATTATAAATATCTATCAGGACATAAAAATGGTTAAAAATAAAGGAGCTAAATGTTCAACTCAAAAAGTAACAGAGTGTACCACCAAGAAAACCAGAAAAACAGAAACAATAAAGATGTGGGCAGAAATCAGTGAAACAGAAAATGAATAAAACAGAAGCTAGTTTTATGGAAAAGATTAATAAGACCAAATTTTGGCTAGACTGATTGAGAAAAAAGACAGTCTCAATAATAAAATGAGACTCAGCCTGAGGAAGAAAAGAGCCAAAAATACTAAAATCATTTTTATATTATGAGCCCTCATATACGTTAACCTAGATAAAGTGGGCAAATTCCTTAAAAATATAAAGTGCAAGAATTTATATAAGAAGAAATAGAGAACTTAATAGAACAGTAAATGTGAAATAAATTGAAATGGTAGTTAAATATCTCCTCTCCCCTCCCCTCCATCTTAACTCAGATCTAGAGGCTTTGAAGGAACCTGATGTGTTTTGTGTGTGTGCGTGTGATAACGGGGATCAAGCCTGGGCCTCTAGCATGCTGGGCAAGGGCTCTACCACTGGGCAATACTGCCTGCCTAGGAACTTGACTTCTAAGGAATAGTTAATTCCTAGAAAAGGAGCAAAGGCTGTGAGGCCGGCATTAACCCATTTCAAAACTTAGAGAAAGAAAGAAGGTTGGGTGGGGGGAGAGGTAGGTAGGTAGGTAGGTGGAGGGAGGGAGAGCCAGCACACTATTTCACTTGTGAATTGGGAAGATATTTCAAGTACCTTTACTGTTTTAGGAATTTCCTAAAGACCTATTTGTTGGAGCAATAGACTGACTACTCAGATGACTCCTTATCAGGACGATGACCATAAGTCTCTAGGCTGGGTTACCATATCGATTTCACTCTGCTCCTCCAGGCTCACTAAACCCACTCTTTGCTGTGGCCACTAATCCTCAACTGCTATATGACAAATCTGCCCAATTGAATCAGCTTCCCTGCATTGAGAAACCGTTCTTACATCAGACCCTAAAAACCTTGTAAAAATAGCCCATCCTTGAAATACATTCATTACATTTATATTCATAAATTCTCAATACTAAATGAAAATAAATTCTTATTGACTACCTCTAGAAAGTTCTAGAGGCCAATTCATCATTTCAAAGTAAAGGGAAAGAAACAAACACATTTCCTGCCTCCTACATGAATGATATTTTGAGATAATCAAATACTTAATGAGGGAGGTTTCTCCTTATAAATACATTCCGGCCTATAGGTGCAGAAGGAATGATAGAAGCAGGATATCACAGTTTTCCAAGCAGGACAACCAGATGTCAGCCTCCTCCCAGGGAAGAGCACACCCATACTTGTGAAGTTGGCCTGCAGGGAGAGTCCAACTGAATCTGACTACGAGCTTACAAGAAATGTACAGAATGAGGAACAAGCCAACTCACCCTACAGAGACACTACCAGCAAAATCTAGAATGGGAAAGTCTTTATTTTGACCCATGTTTCAATAAACAAAGTAGCGGTAAGATTACAGGAATAAAATGGGTAGTGGCGGTAGGGATTAAAAGAAAAAAGGAGAGAGATTTTAACTCATTATGATATAGGGATACTGTTTAGATCCAGACTAAATGAACTGGAGAAAGAAATAACTTTTAGAGGCCATTCTGGGAAATGTGAGCTTTGATTGGATGTTTGATGACGTTAACTAACTCCTGTGAAGGAATCTGGGGGTCTGGTAATGACATCAAGGTTAAGTTTTAAAAGGGAAAGTCCTGGCTGGGGGTATAGCTCAGTAGTAGATCACTTGCTTGTAAACGGAGGCCCTGGGTTTGATCCCCAGTGTCACAAAAAGGAAGAAAAAAAAAAGGAGGGAGACTCTTTAAGATTTTCATACTAAAACTTATAAAATGATATGTGGCCTGGAATTTACTTTAAAAAGAAAAAAAAATCCAGGCTAAAGGGCAATGGGTAGAGAAGCAAGATTCTCCCTCATGGATAATTGCTGAAGCTGAGGGAATATACAAGAGGATTCATTAAGCTATTTTCTGTACTTTTGCATGTTCAAAACTTTATGCACACATGTATGTGGACATGTGTTTATGTATGCATGCATGCATGTGTGTGTGCATGTGTATTTTCTCTGTGTATATGGATACACAGAGAAAATGCAAGGCATACCACCTCCCCAGCCTCTTCTTAGGAGGTAGGGACATGCTATAAGGCTCCCGTCTGCAGACATCTTGAACAAACCTGCCTTCCTTTTTTATTCCATCCGCCACTGGGGCCTGATTTCATGCATTCCTCACTGAGAGGGCACTCTGGCTAGGTATTAGCTTCCTGTGTCTCCAGACAAGGCACCAACCTCTCCCTACCCCCGTTTCCCCACTACAACCCCCATCCAGGACCTGGTGCTTTGGGAGCACTTGGACTATGATATTTTCTCCTCTCTCCCAGTGTCCCTTCACCATCTCCCTCAGGGTCCTTTCTGTCTACCCCGAAGCTTCTCATGATTCCGTTCATCTTTACTAACATTCTGATTCTCACTTCTTCCAAAGGCCTTGGGCACCTTCTTTTACTTCCAGCTGCTCTTCACAGATGCTGGAATCTCGCTCCTCTCCCGATCTCTCCACACAAGGATGGAATTAGCACCACTCAGGTTGCTGATCTTGCTTTCCAGTGTCTGACCATTACTCCTTTGGCTCAGGCAGGTCTCTCAGGTGCAGACTAAAGCTCCAGCCAACCAGAGAACAATCAGCTGCCCCTCACACACCAGACCCTAAAAACCTTAGAAATATCCCATCCTTGAAATACGTGGCTATGAGCATATTTGTATGACCCCCCACCTGTCATCCCTCTTTCCTCAAGCTTCCTTCCTCTCCACACCAGCTCCTGTGGCTGAGTTCCCAGCATGCTTTGCTCCTGGTTAAAATCCCGTGATACCCTAATCTGATAAAGCAGTTTATCTTCCAGGAATAAGAAAAGGCTCGCCTCAAAGAGCCAATTATTAGAGGTTCTAGGAGGGCAGGGTCATTGACTCTGGCTTGATGGTTCTGTTCTTCATCAACTTGCTTTTCCTGTCAGCCAAAAAGACTCATCCCCCACCACCACCCACCCACCAGACCAGAAGTAAGAAGGGAGATGAAGGATGCAACTTGGGCCTTTGTGGTTGGTCCAGGAGTACTTCAAGGTGTATAAGGCAGATCCAGTGGCATCAAGAGCTGTTTGGCTCAGAGATGAGGCAGGAGGTGGGGGAAGGAATCCAAGCAGGGTCTGTGGGCATACAGGTCCCAGCTGTCTGGAGCTGGACTGTGGTCATTTCAGGATGAAGAAGCTGGAGTTTCATAAAATCCTTCTTTTCTTCTTGATATGTTTGGATTAGAAATCTGGTCTCTGGAACCTTGGTTATTTTTTGCTTATCTTCATTTAAAAAAGGATTAACTGAGCACTTACTTTGTGTTAGAGCTTGGATCAACTTGAGGGCTCAAACAAAAAGGGACATCTGTCCCCTTAAGGGAGGACATGCTCAGAGGTGGATTTTAAGATACACTGATGAGGGTTCTTTGCCCAGCACCGTGGTTTCTGGAAACCTTCCTGAGAGAGGACACCTGAGCTGAGTGGTGGGAAATGAGTAGGAGACTGAGAAACAGCATAGACAAAGGCCTAGATGCTTGGAGCTGCATGGAGAGCCCCAAGTGACATAGTATCACTGCAGATGAACCCCAGGGAAGACGGTGGGAAGGTGAGGAGGGCCTGGCCTGCCACACAGGGAGTGCTTGCCTGGGACTCCATCTTTCCCAATTACCCTCCCTTTCTTTGGAGAATGGCATTTGGAAAGTGCATTCCCTGGTTGTGCTCAGAGGGCAGGAGAGGGGTTTGTGTTCCCCTTGGGCCCCAAGAGAACTCAAATCAGGAGTGAGACTTTGGGGGCTGAGTTGGGGTGGGGCAGCAAGATTCAAGTGAAGAAAACTCTCAGGGGAAGTGAGGCACTGGGGACATACGGCCACCAGGTATCCTTCCTGAATGAGCTCCTTGGAACACAGTTCTCACCTAGCCCTAAGGGACCTTTGGTTTGCTTTATTTTTTTTTAATTACAAGAGATTATATATACCAAATTATATTATTTATGTTAATATTTCTTTTGTGTATAAGAAATATTTTAATAAAAGTGGTATGTAATGCATGCATGTTCTGTGCGTAATGTATGACTGTATGACGTTTAAAAGTCCTGATGATGGGAACACCCTGAACCCCCTACTAATATAAGAGCTAGAATGAGACCATAATGTTGCTTCTCAGATACAACCTCTGCCACACCTTCCACCTAACCACTGTTCTAAATTAGTCACCATCCCCTCACTCAAATATATGAACCTCCTGTCATTTGACTCCTTAAATAACATAATCTAGTTTTCTTTTTAGGGCATGTTACAAAAAAAAAAAAAACAGTGATGTATTTGCAGAGTCAGCTCACATTTTTTCCACTCAATGTTGTTTTTTCATGTGTGGTTTCAAAACCGAGGTTGTTCCTTCATCAACTGAATCAAACAAGATAATGCTGACTTCTGGATGTAATGGTGAAGCTTGGAGCAGTCTGATTGCACAGTTCTCAAATTTTGTGGAAGATCAGATGCCGGAGCTGCTAGGGCAGAATGGTCAGTCTACTATACTGTGGTTCTTTGGTCCCACCATTTCCAGTTAGCTCCATATTAGCGGGGATAGCGTTTGTACCATAATCATTTCTCTTATCTCCTACATTTGTGGAGGGCAGAGGCCCATGAATGACATCAAGAAATTTTTTACTTTCCAGCACCAAGTATTTGTACCTATCTCTCAGACACCTCTTGCTGAAGTTCTTCAGGGTCCGTAGCACTCTTGAGAAACCATTTTCTTCTTTCTATGCCTTTAAGTGAATAACTAGAAGTCTAGTGTTTGAATATCTTTAGAATGATTCCTGATGGTTCTGGAGACCTGATCCTTCTTGTGTGTCATGAGAAACACAAGGAGCTGTAAATGCTCCTTAAAGAAATGTCCTGCACTTAATGTGTTTTGGAAATATTGTTCTCTATTTCCCTCTCTTAGTCTTGAGGTGTTCATTAATACATTAGAGACCCGACCACAGTATACCTCTGTGTGTGTGTGTGTGTGTGTGTGTGTGTGTGTGTGTGTGTGTAACAACTATTAACACTGGTAAATTTTTTTTTCCTTTGGAAAGTGCTGTTGTCATGAAATATGCAGGGTCTTAGAGTGAGTGGAATGATTTCCAAGGCACTTGAAAATGTTCCTTCGGAGACATGGCAAAGGACAGGTGGTCAGCATAGTTGGTAAATGAGATAGGTAGTAAATGGGAGAGATGGGGGCTGATTGGCTAATTATCAAAGAAAAGGAAATGGGTTGCTAACACCTCCAAGGAATCGCTTCTCCCAACCCAAGGAGTTTCCAAGGATGACTCACTGGGCTGCTCTTTTCCTGCCCTTAGGCAGTAGGCAGGTGGTGATCTATAATAAGGCAAGACACACCCAGTCCTGAGGATACCCAGCTCTGGGTCCCTTCTCTCCCTTTCTTAAATAAAACTTGGTTTCTATGCTAGCCTAGTTGTTTCTCCTGTGTTTAACCTTCAACCCCAGGGCAAGGAGGACCATTCACTCCTCCATGCCCGCCCTGCCTGTCAATGCTACCTAAATTTTTTTAAATTCACAAGGAAACATTTTTAACCCATGTTGGAGGAAAACTTAAAATATAAATCACCCTGAGAGAGGCACTTGAGTAATAAACTTGTGACGAGGTAGGCATGACTAATACCAGATTTTTTTCTTATCACAGGCCTTGATAGAGAGGAAGAGACCTAGACCTCAAGGCCACCAGGACTTCTGAAGACCAAGCAGTGACATGAAAGGCAACCTTCTCAGGCCAGTTTTTTTTTTACTGCACAATTTAATAAACCTTGTAACTGGCTCATTTGTTTAGTCTGAAATGTAAGACTACCTTTGCATTTGACATTGATTACTAAAAAAATACATATTTTCTTTCTTATATATCATAATAAATCTCAATTTTTAACGGGTATGAGCATAAGATTCTAAGAGGCAGATTGAATTTTATTTTCTAAAATTTTGTGGTATTTGGTTACCCGTGATTTTTTTTTTCTCCCTTAATCAATGGGCAACCTGTCCATCTGGAATAAATGTGCAGTTTTGTAAAGACAGGGGAATCTGCTAACCACCAAGTCAAGTGTGCTCTGATTTTAAAATTCTTACTTGTGGATCTTTTGAAGAGGAAGCTTTGCCTATAAATCTAGAATTCTGTCAATCTGATGATTTATCTTTTTTTCTGCTCTGAGTGGGGGGAGGCAGAAATGGAAAGGGAAGAAAGAGGACAGAAGGGAGGAGGGGGAAGGGATAGTCTGCATGGAGAAAGAGCAATTAATCATGAATGTGGAAACCTAGGTACCAGCTGTAGGACACAAGGCATATTATCTTTCTTTCTGAGCCTCTTTGTGAAATGAGAAAGGAGAGTCGGATTATTCGAGGTTTCCTTCTAGCTCTGAAATTCTGTGATTTACAACCACATGGCTTATGTATGAAAACTAAAAGCCAAAACAAGTAGAAAAAAGCAAATGATGCAGACAGTCAGGAAAAAAAAATGAAAAAGAAATAAAAATACAAGAGAGATGATCAATACAAACAAAAGCTTGTTGTTTGAAAAAAACTGGAAAAATGAAAAAGGCAAACGTCTGGTAAGACAGATTAATACAAATAAGTTGGAGATAAAATATGCAAAGTAGCTGGCAGGTTTTAATAAGAGATAGGTACTAATACAGAGAGGACACCCCTTCCCTAATTTGTTTTCGTTTTTCTCTCCCATCTTATTTATTTTTCTCTCCTTATTTTTAACTCTCATTCTTATTTTCCCCTCTATTCCATACCCATGTTTTCCACAGAACGTTGCGTCCCCTCTGTTAGAGGATTGGGCAATACAGAGGTACCAGCCTCCTTTCCATGTTAAGGTAAAACCCGAGCTTTGAGGACTGATGTAGTTACCACTTCTTGACAGCAGATGGCGATGTAAGCCTGTGGCTGTGTTGTCAAACCAGGAATGCTTCCCCCCCCTTACTGATTCTAAGACATTTCCCCTCATCTTTATTCTTACTTTTGTAATTTATTTATTGCATTTTAACATTTCCAAAATTGAGAGGCATCTTGTATGCTACATTAGTTTATTTTAGTGTTTAATGATCTCAAGCTATTAATGTTGCTTCTTACTTAAATCTTAAAATTATCTTAGAATGGAGGATATTCACTATGCTACAAACCAGAGAACAATCTGGAATGAATTTATTTCCTATGTAGAGTATTTTAAAGAACTAGGTAAAAGTTCTTACTGAACAGTTTTAAATGACACATTCATGATTTTGCTGTCTGGGAATCACTGAAGGTTTGCATTCAGGCTGACGCAGAGGCTTGAATACTTGCCAGCTGTGTGATCTTGGGCACATTAACTTACCTTCTATAAATCTCAGTTTCCATGTCTTTAAAATGGATAATTCAGAAGTCTGCTATTATATACCGGCCCCATAATTTGGCCCCAATTGATACAAAAACATCTAGCTAGTATTAAATAATTTTAAAACGATTTTGTTAATAATGAAATAATAGTTTCCTTTAATTGACACCAAATGGGAGACTGCATCTGTGCTACTCAATGAATGAGCTAAATGGCCAGGAGTTGAGGGCTTGGGGCCTTTAACTGGCTACATGTCTCAGTGCCACTGCTTACCATCTCTCACAATGTGGCTCCCAACAGAACATCCCAGGGTGCCTGTTAAACAGGGTGATTCTTAGACCCCTCAGACCCACCAGATTAAAATTGAGAGGTGGGGCTCAGAATCTGTCTTCTAACTAAATTCTACATGATAACTTCACCTTGCTTTTTGGATAGTGGAAAATAAAACTATAGGACCATGTGGTTCTTTCTTTTTGCTTCCCCGTGTGTTGCTCATTTTCCATTTGCAGTGATTTCTGCAGTGGGTCTTGCATGATAACTGTCATGTCCACAGCCCAGTTGTTCCAGGGATGTGGGGTAAGATGTAGAAAGGCCAATGAAAGTGCCTGGAAACAGTGCGTGAGACA